GCCTTCGGCATTGGCGGCAGCGGCATTTGCCCGGAGAATCACGCAAGGCGATGATTTCGCAGCCAGATTTGACTTGGAGAGCGACGAGGAGGAACGCAGCGCCTGGGGAGGAGAGACAAGGCGGCGCGCGAGCGCCATGGATGCCGCATTCCCGGATATTGTAGCCATTCCCTCGCGCCTAAAACCCTAAAACATTATCCGCCCGCTTGGCAGACACGTCATCATATTTTAGGGCTGATTTGCCATGTCATTAGCTCACAAGGGTTTAGGGCTTGGGGCTTCTCATGGCGAGCAGGGGAATAGCGAGGCGCCTGATCGCGACAATGCGCGCGCCGCCGCGGCAATCGGCCTTCCAGCGGCCGCGATGCCTCAGGTATGATCTCCCGGCGCCGTTGCCTGCTCACGTACTTCGACACACATAGGATTCCTCGTGAAATCGCGGCGCTGGAGTCAATGCGGCCGTTTCACAGCACTCTGGCGTCATCGCGGCTGGTTTCCGGGCTCTCGAGCGGCGGATTTCTACGTTTCGAAGGTCAGGCTCTCTCCGCTCGTTCCGCCGCTTGAATGCTTGCCTGCCAGTCGGTTGTTTGAGAGCCGTTCTTACTCATTCCAGGTGCTCGGAGGTCCTGCTCCACCGAGTCTAGCTCTAGTGACAAGAATGAGAAGTCCTTCTTCGACGAGCGCGAGCAATTGTCCGATATGAGCGATGGAGAAGGGAGCTATAGTGAGAGTGAGTCGATGTGGAGCCACGACGAAGGAGAGGGTGGTGGTGGTGGCGACTCAGACCAGGGGTCGGAGTTTGAGGAGGGTGATACGTTTCTCAACGACAACGATCTCTGGGGCGAGAACGAGGGGATGGATGAAACACCTAGCAGTGAACTGAGCGAGAAGGATACGGAAGAAAGTAAAGAGGTGGAGCAGCCTTCGGTCTCGGATAGATTGATGGAAGAACTCGCGCGTGTTCTTCCCAATGTTCCGGAGGACGCAGTGAAGAAGGCCGAGGAGAAGTTTAGGCAGCAGCAGGGGGAAGCTGGGCGGGTTCGTAAGGAAGCCGGCGCTTATCTCAGAGCGATGAAGAAGGAGTACGACTCTAGATCGTTAGTCCAGGACGAGCACTGCAAGAAAGTTCATCAGAAGCTGTCCATGCTAGCACCGGATCCGGATGGGAGGTACCGGAGCTTGATGGAGGTGGTGTCGGACATAGACGTTCTACTGGAGGCGTACAGGAGAGTCAAGGCGGGTCCAGGTGGCGATCCATCGAAAGTTCCTCTGGACAACGTGAATATGGACTGGTTCCACAACACTCAAGCCAAGCTTAGAAACGGGACGTTCAAGCTGAGCCCGATCAAGGTGGTGGAAATTGAGAAGCGGGAGCTAAGCGGGATCGAGAGGAAACGGAAGCAGTATCATCGTTTCCACAGGAAGCACCGGCAGCCATACTGACGAGCGTAAGATCTGGTTTGGCTGGATTTCTGGGGCTAACTTGGAGGTGTAAACAAAAGCAGGACGCATTGTCAGCTATGTTAGCCCACCTTAAGTGTCGCTTCTTGCGTTCTTGACGAAGGCTTGTCAACCAGTAGACTGGTAGGTGTTGCTTGCTAGAAAAGAAAGAATTTTCCTGTTCGTGCCATCTGACCGGGTGAATCGTTCTCGTTTTTGACCAGATCGATTCGCGAACTATGTCAGCCCTCACTGAAGATGGAGCGTGGCCACACCAGCACGACACACATCCGCTGCGAGGTTTACTACATTGGCTCTTCCCCTCTCTCGCTCTTTCCTTTTTAATGGATTTCTCTACTTTTCAATCCGACTGCTACTGCTGAGTCTCCGCTCGCTCTCTCGCGATTCGAGCCACCCGGGTATTATTATATGATCGCTCCAGCGGCCAGCCGCGTGGTCCTGGTTTGATCCGGTGATCTCGACGGTTGAAGCGTTTGAAGCTGGTTCGTACGCGAAGGCTTTGTGTCGGTGTGTGTAAGCGCACTTACACAAGAATGTACTCCCCCAGGTAGCTAGCTATGCACACATTTCCAGTGATCATTTGGTTCTGGAGTTCCAGATATGTGGTTTTTGCAGGCTTTTTGACGCGATCAGTCCTCGTCCAAACTGGTACGTTGTTGCATTAATGCCATCGCCGAGCTCTGCTATTGACATGCTTTATGGTATTTCAGTGCTGCTCCTGCTGCTGCTGCTGCCCGAGATGGGATGATCCATCTGGTGGGATTTCGCTACTGCGGCTCTGTGCTCCCCCCGCTGCAACGCTCAGATATGGTGAAAGTGACCAAAAGTTTTATTGCGAGCTACACAGATGGAATGAATGTAACACTACGAAGCAGCATCTCTTCCCCCCCGCGGCTTGATATAACAAATTATATCGGAACGGAAAAGGCCTGCGCGAGAGGAAATGTTTAAGCCTCTTGGATCGTCGAGCAAAAAAAAAATGGTGCCTTGTGACAAGAGCTCCATCTGAAGGTGTTAGTAGCGGCCCAGAACCAGGTACCTTGTCTCAAAATGCGCTGGGCCGTGGAAGTTATTTGCTAATTCATGTGTACGTTTCTTTTTCTCCTTTCGGTGCTGCAGTAGAACGCGCAAAACTGGACCTTTCTTCGCTTGGCCAGACTTAAACACCGACCTCCTGGCTGCTTCGAGATGGTCCTGCTATCGAGGTAAGTTTCCAATTTTCATTTCCGCATACCAGGAGGAACCATATCTTCTAGCAGGCCTTCGTCCGTGAAAGTCTGGCTTTGGCCTACTTGCCGGCTTTGCTGTTGGTGCTGCTGTAGAAACTGTTGCTGATCCTGCTGGCTTCGCTGGTGCTGCCGCTGCTGCTGGAGAAGCTGGCTTTGCTGCTGGAGGAATTGCTGCTGCTGCTGCTGCTGCTGCTGGCTTTGCGCTCGAGCCGATGGAAAATTGAAGCTGGCACCTCTAGCTCCGAGGCCAGAGAGAAGCGATTGCTGCTGCTGCTGCTGCTGCTGCATTTGCAAGTGAGGCATAGTCTGGTACAGCGCCTGCGTGAACGATCCGGGGCGCTGGCTGCCGAAAGGATTCACAGCTCCAGCACCTCCTCCGCCTCCGCCGCCTCCAACTTCCGTCAAACTCCTCAGCGTCGCCGGACTGTGGTGAGTGTGAGTACCTTCGTAAGTGGTGATAACAATTCCGGGGTCCTCGCAGGAACGCTCCACTCGCTTCTTCACTGGACACTTGCTGTTGGTGCAGCGGTAGTAGCTCCTGCGAGAGAAGAAAGAAAACTTGGTGATCGATCGGAAGAAAAATCCAGTTTTTTGCTCACGTACCTTGGATGGGGGCTGTTCTTGACGGCCTTTTGCCCGTATTTTCGCCACCGAAATCCATCGTCCATGATATCCACGTCGCTGCGCGTCTGGAGAGCGTAGCGAGGCTCGCGGTTTCGCTTGGGACCTTTCTTTGGAGGCTTGGCTCTGGAAGCAAACGATTGACAGGAAAATTTGGTGAGAGATCTGTGAGATGAGAGTTCCAGTCAGGGATGAAATCCAAATGCACAAATGCCCAGGACAAAAACAACTCCATGTTTTCATCATTGCCTTTGGAAGCACGAAAATCTTCCCTGAAAAATGCCAGTGTAGACTCACGTATGCCCGAGGCGGGCATACGTAAGAGATGGATGGCTATGGCGTCCGCCAACACTGAAATTCATGGCAGCCCAGTTACAACGATGCAAATCCTCGCAAGCCCAAGAAGCATGAAAGCACGAAAGCACGGAAGAAATCAACGAAACCGCAAGAACAAACCAAAAGCCCAGTGGAAGAGAAGAAATGGTGAAAAGTTTGCCGAGAGTTCTTACGGTTTCTTTCCTTCCTGTTGTTGCGGCTGCGGCTCCAGCGACGACGATTTCTCCGCGTCCTCGGAAGACCCGGCCTTGCGCTTGAGCGATCCTCCGGACGATGCCACATTTCCCTTGTGCTCCTCGTCGCCATCGCTGGCTCCCGACGAGGACGTGAAGGACGTGGGAGTTCCAATCGCCTGATCTCCTCCTCCTGACCCTCCAGACGCTATCGATCCACTAGCAGCAGCAGCAGCAACACCAGCGCTAGCAGCAGCAGCAGCATGACCAGCGCTCGCCAGATCCAGCTGCTGTTGATTCGACGGCGCCGCTACTTGATCGTCATCTGGGTCGTCCAAGAAAAATCCCGCGGGATTGTAGCTTTGTTCCAAGTGTTCTTGGTGGCGATGGTGGTGGTGCTGCTGTTGTTGCTGCTGCTGCTGCTGCGAGAGGAAAGTTTGCTGCCACCACGACGCTTCCACTCCGGATCGAGGAGCAGCAGCAGTAGCAGCGTTGTCAAAGTCGGCCAAATTCCAGTCGGTGTAGAGCCTCCCAGCGGCAGCAGCGCCACTACTGCTACTGCCTGGAACAGTGGAGCTGCCGGCCATGATGCCCGAGATGCCGCCACTGTAGAGAAGCTGCGCCGAGTCCACCATGGCCGCCATCGCGGGATCCAAGTGGAAGCTCCAGGGAGCCGCTGCTGCAACCGTGGAGTCCATCAGCGCTGCTGACTGCGCGGCCGATGCAGCTATCCCGCTAGCGATCAAGGACGACGAAGAGCTGGGAGAACTGGAAGAACTGGAAGAACTGGAAGAGAAAGAAGAAGTTATCAGCGCTGTTGCTGTAGACCGCGATGGAGATGAAGAAGCTTCTGTAGCTCCGCCTAGGGTTTGGAGAATTCTCTCGAGCTCCTCTTGCTGCTGCTGCTCCTCCTCCTTGGCACTCTTGATCAGCCTCCTCTCCATAAGACTTTTCTCTTGTCACTTGGAAGATGTTCCAGCTTGCTCCACATTTTCACACCGTTGTATGCTCCTCTTCTTCTCATGGCACTCCTGAAACATCTGTCTGGAGAAGCTGCCACAGCTCCCCCTTCCCAGAAAAATCCAGAATTTCGACTCTAGATCACGAGAGATATCCGAATTTGAAGAAAAGATCTGCTACTTCTTCTTCTTCTTCTTCTTCTTCTTCTTCTTCTTCCTTGCTTGCTTGAGTCCTCTCTCTCCTCCCTCTCTCTCTCTCTCTCCTTTCTTTTTTTGACGAGCTAATAATCAAGAAGAAGCTCCATCCCAGCTATGATGATATTTCTCCATTTAAGCTCTTTTCTAACTCGCTCGCTCTCTCTCTTCTCTTTCCTGTGTCTCTGTCCCAGAGCTGTGATGCCTTGCCCGGGTCTTTCGAATGCCCATTAAATGGCCAATTGCTTCCCCGCTCGCTTCACAATCACAGCCCCCTCCACGAGAAGAAGAAGAAAAAAGAGAGAGAAGAAGCTAAAGAAAATTCAAAGAAGAGGAGGAAGCAAACTCCTTTATAGCCTGTGAGACGAATCCCCGCGATTGCAATTCGAATGAAACAGAAGAAGCAGCAGCCGCAGCAAAGGAGCGACGACGAGTAGGATCGTCTGTACGTGTCACCAGAAATCCCATTCAGGATTTGGACAGTGCTGTATGGATCTCCAACTTGAGTTTTATACGCTCCGGGATGGAGACCTGTGGCCAAACAAACTTCCTGATCGATTCCAAAAACCACGGTCTACAAGACCATGGAAGCAAAAGAAAAAAAGTAAAAAAAAAATGTGAGAGAGAGAGTCGAATGAGGAGAGGATGATGAAGAAGAAGAGGCGATGGAGGCGATGGAAGAGATTCACGGAAGAAAAGTAAACACCGCGTGGGTTTCGTATGGGGGTGGGTTACTTATATGAAGGGGCCGTGTCATACGGCATTGTACGGAAGTTCATGGTTTTTTGGAGACGGTTTATAATGGGAACCTTTTGCCGTGTGACAAGATTGGAGTGATGATTGTGGACGGTGACCATCAACAAGATGGAGCTGGGCGGGGAAGCTCATGAAACAAGTGTGATCTCGCGAGACAACTTTGGAATGAACTTCCCTTTGCTTGCTATAGATTTTTGTGTGGCTTAGATTTGGATTTCGCAAGGGAATCCACGAGAGGGCGGTAGTCTAGTGTCTCTCTCTTTCTCTCTCATATGTAGCTTTCAATCCTTTCTTTTCGAGTGTTTGTTTGTATTGTACAGCCATATTGCGAGTGATTCTTTAGAGCTTAGAGTGGAGCCCATATCTCTCTCCTTTGTGGGGTTCTTCATTGGAAGAGCTCTCGCTTTTGGGACCTCTTCCCCTGAGCTTCTCCGAAGAAGGCGAGAAAGAGTCGCACAGGAATGAGAAGTTTCTTTCGTTAAAACACCCCGCACTTTATAACAAAGAGCGGGGTGGTGGTCCTGGAGTAACGGAATCTAGCAAGAGATGCTTTCTCTTAGAGGTTCTAGATTGGAGCAAGGGTTCCCACCCAAGATATCTACCGATCCAGCAAAGAGGAAAAAAAAAAAAAAGAGAGAAAAATACTGTTTGCTTGTCAACTTGCGAGCTCGTGTGTGTGCGTTTGCCATGAAAACACGGCATCCACCGCCAAAGTTGTCACAGTATGTACGGAAGGGGCTTTTGGATCTCCTGTCCATCCGTGAAAGATGGGCGAGTAGGGAGGCAAGGGGATGGAGATGCAACAACCCAACTCAGCCCCACCTACACAAAAAACGCCTCCGCGGGACTGATTACGGGGAGGTCATCGCGGCCAAGACTTGTGCCCCACGTCTGTTTGTTGCTCTCATCTCATGTCCTTCTAGACTTTGAACGTGAGCGGGTCAAACTTCTTGCTTGTTTTTTTTTCCGTTTGTTTTTCCTTTTGTTTTCCGTTTTTTAACTTCATTTTTTTTTTGTATAGAATTGTGTAAGAGCCCAACACGGCAGTATTCCCCAGTACGGATCTCAATCCCGTGAGCACACATGATCAGGAAAAGAAACCTAATGTTCTAGCCCCGCCACCTTTTCTGAACCTTTAAAGAATCTCTCCCCGAGATCACAGAACCAACACCGCTTTTGGGCGATGAGGTCATCAGGCATGGAACAGTGTAACACGGCAATGAGATCATCTTCGCCTTCGCCACCGAGCGAGTCGATGACTCCCAAATCAATCGCCTGTCATCTATCACACACACCATCATCATCAGAGGAAGGAGATCAGTCTTCAATCAAATACTCATCTACGTATACTTTCCAAGAACACCATACACGTGAGAGATAAACAGGATACACCATACGTCACCGGTTTGCAAGTTGTACAGCATTCTGCGAGACCAACCCGAATTTCCCTGACCCAGGGGGATATTCCCCACCACCATTTCGCCAGCAGCGAGTTTCGGACACCATCAGCAGAGATCAGTCAGCTGGCTGATCCGCTTTTGCCTGATTGTTAACTCTCGAAAGCGTGACGGGTGGTGTGACGGGGAGCATTTACCAAAGCCTGGCATTTTGCCAGCAAAGTAACTTGGAGTTGATACGTGCTGAGCTAAGCACAGCATCACGCAAACTAGAGCCAGCATCAGGCAGGTTTCTGGTAACTAGCTAGTTACATAAGAAAATTAAAGGAAAAAAGAGGAAAAGGTGGCGAGCAAAGTTTGGTGAGGAACTAATAAAAGTAGATGTGGACATGCATGTAACAATTTGCAACTGGGCAATTGCATTGCAGCATGCATGCACAGTATTGTTGTTGTTGTAAATTATTGCAGGAGGCTATCAATCTGCAACAAATTCACCCTCTCTCTGTGGGGACTGGGTAGAACTTGAATGATACTTTGCTAGCCGGCTGTTTGATCCAAAAGAAGTTGCTCCAAATGCACCACTCCCTCTTTCTTTAGAGGAGAAGAGAAAGCCCCAAAGTGTGAGTGAGTGACAACAGCAAATACCCCACTTCCTCTTGCTTTTCTGGAGGCTTTTTTCCTTTCAAAGTTTCCCCTTGCTTTTTGTCCCTGCCCACTTTTATAACATGCAAGGAGCCAAAAAGATGTGTGCCTTGGCAAAATGCCCCAATGGCCACTTGCAAGCCAGGTCAAAGGGGTTTTACATGGAAGCCTTGAAAAAAATTAAAATGGGGGTGGAGAATTGCAGCTGGTCAAAGCTTTTATATGCATATGAAGGGATCGTGGTTTCACTACAGTGTCCCAGTGACAGGCCAGACCGTCTTGAATTTGCGATTTGAATGGTGGCCCGAGAATGAATTCCTATGAATGGTGGGCTTGTTCAAACTTCTCCAGAAGAGTCAACCCTTCTGGGCCTTTGTTTACTCTGGCTTTTACTGCTGTGTAAGCGGCATTTTTTATTTCACCTCGTGGTGAAGTTCATACCTTCAATGGTGAAATAAATAAATGTTAGAAACGTAGTAAACAAGAAGTGATTTCCTTAGATTGACAAGACACTATAGACATGAGCTGAAATCTTTGGATTTATGGAACGAACAATGGTAAGGTAAGGAGATTTTCTTGCATAGTGTGATGGGGTGAAAAATTACCACATCAAAGTTGGCAGATCAGCAAAAATTAACGCATCACCCTGATGTCACTAGAAACAAACAGGTGGAGATCCCATTAACAAAATGCCTAAACCGGATTAAGCACCTTTTAAAGGAGGCGTATACATGCCGCCATTCGCGAGTGTTCGTGTTCCACGCGCACAGACAGCGCGAATTATTTTAAACGTCGTGCAGATTGGTGGTGGTCCAAAAAGGATTTGCTTAGAAAAATCGCCAGCCTTGTTCTTCTTGTGTTCACAAGAAAGAAACTAAAAAGAAAGATCGATCTTACTTGTCGCTGGCTCGAATCAAACAAGGAGCGAATGGAAACAACCAAGCCAAGCCTGGAACAGAGAGGTTAGAGGAAGAAAGGAAAGAAAGGAAAAGAGAAAACTATGGAGAGATTGCTTACCAGAAACCAGGAATGGGGGATCCCAGCCTAACTCTTCTCCCACTCGTGATCAGTGAGAAATGAATCGAGAGTGACCCGTAAAGCTCGCTTTCATTCGCTCGGCGGCCTGCTTAAAAATCCGATTGAAAGGGACGAGCAACAAACGAACCAAACTGCAAGTGCCACTTAAATCAGTGAATTGTCCCAAGGAAAAAGAAAAAAAGCAAGTGGATTACTTACGAGAGACCGGATTACTTACGAGAGACCAGAGAATCAGTAACCAGCGGCAAGAACACTGTTGTTTGCCACTCCGAGCGAGAGAATCTCCTCCAAAGTACTAAAATGGCGATGAAAGTGATCTTCCACAACTGTAGAGTTTGGCCCCCACTGCCTCAGTGGTGCTCCTCCTCTAGAAAAGTTCGCGCACACTTCTCAAGGATACTTATATCTCCATCTTTTTTTTTTCCCTCTCTTTTTTTCCTGTTTTTTTCGGTTTTTTTTTCCTCTCTCTCTCTCTCTTTTCTCTCAGCTGATTCTTACCTCCATGGAGTTCCTGCAAGTGGCTTCGTCCGACAAAGATAGACCACGCAGGGGACGAACTTGGGCATCAAGACTGCTCCTTTACTCTTTTTTTTTGTCGATTAAAATCCGCGACGCTTTGGTCCGAGTCCTGGCAGACAGCGGCCGCATGCATGAGTAGCAGAATTAATCAGCTTGCCTCCCACTAACCTCGACGTGCTTGGAGCCTGTTCCTTGTTTGTTTGGTTTGATACTTCTCCTCCGGCTTAGCATTTCTCCCCCTTTTCTTTAATGGTACCAAGGCATCTCTCATCCAAATCCCCTCTGTTCCAGCCACCACCATTCATGCCAGGCTCCGCTCTCGAGGCCTTCCGATTCTTCCTTTCGCGATTTCCCTTGAGCTTTCCCTGTTCCACACATATATCCTCGGGATGGCCAGTTAGAAGCGATGAATATTTCAAGTAGAAAAGCACAAGGAATCAATGGATGCAAAGCAAGCAAGCAAGCAAAGCGCACGCAAGCAAGGCAAGCAGTGCTCCCTGGAAAACTGAGCTCCGACAGGATGGTCAAGTGTCACCTTTACTTCACACACATTGTCCTGCTCCTCGTATTTTCTAAAGCCAGAAGAAGTTTTCCTTCTGGTATCGAGCTCCTCCCACTGGACTGTGTCCTTGAGTCGCTAGAAGTTAGATATCTGGCATAGAAAACGAGTCAAGCTGGGTACCTGGCTTATAAATCGATAGCCTCTCGGCACATCACAGCATCACAGCATCACAGCATCACAGCAGCAGCATTGGATTCAATGAAGCATGTGTAGTTTATAGTCGGGCTTTGGAGCAAGTAGAGCGTGTAGCATGGAAACACGATCACCGATTGGTGCAATGGCGGCACTAAAAAAGGAAGAAAAAGAAAACAAAGTTAATGGCTTCTCGGCCAGTCCACTCTTGATGACAGACCTTACGCTGGTTGGCCCCCACAAAACTTAAGAAGAAGAGCGTGGACGCGTTAGCTCCTTAGCCGCGTCCCTGGAAAGAAAAAAAAATCACTGTCAATATCTGAGGAAAACAAAGTGAACTAGCATGTCCGACTCGAAACAGGAATGCAGAAACAAAAACGAAACAGTTTCCACCAGAAACAAGAAAGAACAGAGGCCTTACCGCGAGACGTGAAAAAACGGGAAGAACTTAAGATTGTGTAGAAGAGGATAACTCAGTCATGGATAAAAAACAGAATTGTCGCTGCCACTGTCTCCCACTACAGAATCCAAAAAAAAGAAGGAGAATTAGAAACGGAAGGTAAAAACAAAGAGAAAGAACATACCAAATCAAACGTAAAACAAAGCGAAAGAACGAAAGGCCAATGGCGAAGAACAAAAGGAAATGAAAACCAAAGCGAAATGAATGACGAAGAAAGAAGGGAGATGAGAAAGCGGAAGAACTTACCACTCTTAGATGCTTGCGAGCAAGACATAGGCGGCACCTTTCCTCGGATTCAAGTCGACAATCCGGTTGGAGGCTCTGGACCCGCGCTCGCCATCGCGGTGCGTGGAGCAAGACGCGAGCAGGCACGTCCAGTCGAGAGGCTCCGGCACGAAAGGCATGGTTTGCAACAGCTCCTCGGCCTCCCTCACGTATCCGGCTCGTCCCAGCAAGTCCACCACGCAGCAGTAGTGCTGCTTGGTCGCCTTCGCGCAGTAGTCCAGCCGCATCGAAACGAAAGCGCCCAAGCCGCAATCCACGTCGCCCAGACGGCTCGCGGCGATGATCACGCACACAAACGATATCTCGTTGGGCATCTCCACCGCCTTCATCGCCTGGAAGAGATCGATGGCCTCGCGCCAGAGCCCGTTGGAAGCGTAGCCCGTGAGAATCGCGTTCCAGGACGAGACGTTCCTCTCCGGCAGCGAGCAGAAGAGCGCGAGCGCCTCGTAGAGTCGCCCGTTCTGCGCATACGCCGAGAGCATCGCGTTCCAGGCGATGGAATCCCCTCTCTCGATCGTGTGAAACATCTCTAGCGCGCGGTCGAGGCAGCCATTCTGCGCGTACGCGCTGAGCATCGCGTTCCAGGCGACGAGATCGGGATCCTTGATCTTGTCAAACATCTCTTTCGCGTCGCGCAAATGCCCGCTTTGGGCAAATGCCGTGAGCATCGAAGTCCAGGAGATGGTATCCCTTTGCTCCATCGCATCAAACACCGCCTTGGCCTCTGCGAGGTGATCGTTCTGCGCGAACGCAGTGATCATCGAGTTCCACGACGCTACCGATCGCTCGGGCATGGAATCGAAGATGTGCTTGGCGTGCTCGAGATGCCCGGCCTGGGCATACGCGTGGAGCATCGCGTTCCACGCGATCGCGTCCCTCTCGCGCATCTCATCGAAGACGAGCTTCGCATTGCCGAGATTGCTGTTTTGTGTGTAGGCCGATAACATCGCAGTCCAGGTGATGAGGTCTCTCTCGGGCGTGCGATCGAAGAGGGCTTTCGCCTCGGTCAAGAGGCCGCGCTGCGAGTAGGCCGCAAGAACAGCGTTCCAGGACACGAGATCCCGCCACGGCATTCCTCGATCGAACAGCGCCTTTGCCTGCGCGAGATTGCCGGTGCGCGCGTACAGATCCAGCATCGTCGTGGCGATGACTAGATCCTGCTCGGGCATCGCGTCGAAGATCCGCTTGGCGTGCTCCAGATCGCCCGCCTGCGCGTACGCGGACAGCATGATCGCCCAGGAGAAGCAGTTCTTGGGCGCGATCTCGTCGAAGACGGCGCGCGCGAGCTCGATGCTGCCACATTTGGCGTAGCGCTGGAGGAGCATGTTGGCGATCTTCACGTTCGCCGGGAGCAGATGGCGGATGCTAGCGTGGATTTGCTTGATGGAGTGGAGGCTTCTCGCGGATTGGATGAGCTGCAAACACTCGCGCTGATCTAGAAGATCCGGAATTGGCGGCATTCTTCCCAAGAACCCTTAAAAACAGGGCCCCTGTTATTAGGGTTCTTGATTTCAAATGTAGAACCCTAAAAACAGGGGGTTTCTTTATATTTCAAGTCATGTAAGTGTAGCATAGAAGTGTCTTGGTTGGAGGCTGATCCAAAATTCTCCTGGATCCAACCGGCAATCCATACATTCTTTTCCACTCTACGTAATTCCTGGAGCTGGAGTGATGGATTTTCCCCTTCCATATGACCCATTCTTTGAAGAATGGAGCCTGATCAAGAGCTTCTCTAGAAACTGCGAAAAGATCACCATGCACCACCAAAAGGTCCTTGATTTTCCCACCGCCCAGAAGCTCATCCTCGATTGGAACCCAATTCTTCTCCATTGATACATTACACCACATAAGATCGCCCTCTTCTTCTCTGTACATAACAACGTTGATCGCATCGACCTCCATAGCCGGATGAAAGCAGCTTCGGTTCACCACTGTGAGCCCTTTCACGGCCACTGCATCTTCCACTTGATCTTCCAGCTGTGGAACCCTGGGGAGCTCCTCCTCGATCTTCCACTCGTTACAGCGATCGTCGTACCTCACAACATTGATCGCAAGGCGATCCCAGTCCTTGACGAATCCATACATATCCTCCTTGGCGCAAGAGCTCAACGAGGAAGACGAAGATGCGATATCGCGGTATCGTTTCTCTGTTGCCGGTGGAGCCGATCGCACCTTTCCCAAGGATCTTCCGGATGATGGCTGTGGTGGCGAGCCCAAGCTACGAGTGATTCCAACGTTGCTACACATCCATTTCCCAGCGATGGCGTAGACATCATCGCGTTCCATGTCATAAACCAGACACTCGGTCCTATAGTCATTCCCGAGCTTCTTCTTTGGAGACCACTGCGAGTAGAGTTTGCCTTTGAACGCTACGGAGTCCTTCCAGCCGGCAGCGCCGATCACCGGGAACAAATCCCACAACCACTTCCCTCGCCCAATGTCGAGCTTGGCGATCATGTCTCGCCCCTCACCACAGCCCTCTTTTCTAATCGTCCAGACAAAGATCATCCCTGACCAAGCCACCATTCTTGGTTGCCCTTGAGCATAGACCTGGATCTCTGGAAGCTTGATCCAGCCTTTGCCAGGCTCCTGGATCAAAGGAGCGAGATTGATCTTTTTGTCCCAGTCAGCATAGGTGCACACGAGATCTAGATCCCAGAGACGTGGGAGCTGGAGCTCACGAGTTCTAAGCTCCAGAGCGGGGTCTGGAGTGTCGAGGAGGGATTTCCAGGCCTTGGAGAGAGCACGACATACCGGGCGAGTGTAGCATGGTAGCCTTGGAAGGATGTGTGCGACGAGCAAACGATCTGGCAGTCCTGGAAGTATACTATCGATCGTTTCTGCCATGAAAATCCACTGGAGCTTCTTCCTGTTTTGGTAGGTTTGATGACGGACCACACGAAGTTATAGGCTAAAGTTAAAAGAGAATATCCTTGGCAGGATTTGAATATTCTGTGAATTCAAAGTTTAGGGTTCTATGGATGCCACAGAGCTTCTCAGATCCTGCAAGACGCTGCCAGCGCTGCGCGAAGCCAATGCTCGAATCCAGCACCTCCTCCCCAATTCCGCTCTGCTCGCGTCTTCTCTCATCCGGGCGTATGGAAGACTTGGCAGCATCCGGGACTCCCGCCGTGTTCTTGACGAGCTCGCGAAACCCCATCCCTTTTGCTGGATGGCGCTCCTCTCGGCCTACGCATCCAACGGGCTCCTCGATGAGGCCGAGGATCTCTTCCACCGGATGCCGGAGATCTGGGACCTCGTCGCCTGCTCGGAGATGCTGCTCGCCATCGCGCGCTCGCCGCATGGCAGGCGATCGCCGCAGCGCGCCCGGGCGATCTTCGACGCCATGCCCGCGCGCGATTCCATCGCCTGGACCGCCATGGTCGCGGCCTACACCAGCGCCGGAGACCTCGCACGCGCCCACAGCCTCTTCCTCGCCATGCCCGAGCACGACATGGTCGCGGCCACCATCCTCCTCGACGCGCACGCCAAGATCGGTGACGCCGCGGCCGCGCGTGCCCTCTTCTCTGCCATGCGCTTCACGGACCAGATCTCTTGCACCGCAATGCTCACCGCGCTGGGCGAGGCCGGGCATCTGGAAGATGCGGAGAGGATCTTCGCCGACATGCCCGAGCGGGGCATTGTCTCCTCCACCGCGATGCTGGTGGCGCACGCCCAGGCCGGGCACCTGGAAGATGCCAAGCGGATATTCGACGCCATGCCCGCCGTGAATGTGGTCGCTTCCAACGCCATGCTCTACGCATATGCCGAGGCCGGGAATCTCCGGATCGCGCGGCGGATGTTTGACGAGATGGACGAGCGCGATCTCGTGTCGTGGAACGCAATGCTGTCGGCATATGCCCAGGCGGGGGACCTCCACGAAGCTTCGCGGCTGCTTGACCGGATGAAGGAGTGGAACACGGTGTCGCTGACCGTGCTGGTGGCGGCGCACGGTCGGGCCGGGAATCTAGGCGAATCCAAGCGGATCTTTGACCAGATACAAGACCACAACGTCGTGTCGCGCAATGCGATGCTGGGAGCATTTGCGCAGGCCGGCCACGTCAGCGAGGCCCAGTCGTTGTTTGACTCCATGCTGGAGAGGAACTTAGTGACGTGGAATGCAATGCTAGCGGCAAATGCCCAAAACGGGCATCTGGAAGAAGCTAGATTTTTGTTTGATACCATGCAGGAATGGAACTTAGTGTCATGGAACACAATGTTGGATGGCTATGCTAGATTAGGATTTCTAGATTACGCGTTAGAACTCTTTTCGAGGATGAAGTTTCGAGATCTAGTGACATGGAACACGATGATCACAGCAAATGCCCAGAATGGGTATCTAGGCAAAGCTAAATCTTTATTCTACCAAGCACAATCACGAGATATTGTTTCATGGACAGCAATCGTCTCGGCACACGCTCAACACGGAGAAATCACGCAAGCGTCGCGCTTTTACTTGTCAATGCCAGAGAGGGACCTCGCAGCCTGGAACGCCATGCTCGCAGCATTTGCCCAGAACGGGCATTCCCGGACGGCTTGCGAGCTCTTCCCAGAGATGAAAATGGTGGAGCGTCCAGACGACGTATCCTTCCTCTTGATCCTCCACGCCGCCGGACACCTGGGCGAGGTCTCTCGAGGCTTGAGCTGGCTGGCTTCCATGAGCTCCGACTATGGATTGACGCCCCGGAAGCTCCACTACTCTTGCATGGTCGATCTTCTCGCTCGCTCGGGATACTTGAGTGACGCCCAAGCTCTCATCGATTCCATGCCTTATGTCGAGGACGCCATGGAGTGGACTTGCCTCTTGGCCGCTTGCAAGGGCCACAAGGACGTCCACTTTGGCGCTCTCGCTGCAAAGAGAGTTCTCTCGTTAAAACCAAGTAATCCTGGAGCGTACGTAATGCTTGCCAATGTGTATCGCAAATCCTGACTCCAGAACAAAAGCTCGAAAGTAGATGGATTCCATAGTTCCTGAGAACTGGAAGAACAAGGTGTAAGCCACTGTTACTTACATGTATGAACACTATATGCTCTTTTAGCATATCCCTGGCTGCTCCAAAAACTGATTCTCGGAGCTGTGCAATCCATTTGCTGGACCAGGCAAGCAAGAATCTAAAAGCCGCGTCCCCCTAAAACCTTCTTCAACATGGCCCTGCTGTGGAGTCGAGAGCTCGTCTGCGAAAACCATAGCGATGCAATCAGGCTGACATAAATAAACAAAGAAAGCATCGGCTTGCCTGCAATATCTCGATGTTCGTGTAGTCCGCTGTCCGAAACCCACAACTGTGAATTTGGCAGAACACCAACGTCTGCGAGTGTAGTCGATTCGTCAGTAAGCTCCACTTTCCCAAAATGAACTTCCTGGTTTTCTTTCACAACCTTCATCCAGGAAAAGAAAAGTGTTAGTTTAGCTAACGCGCTCAACGAAGTAACAGTACATACCCCGAGCCACTCCCAAATAAGCATCTTCAACTGGTAGACCGTCGTGGTTCCAGAAACTGTGAGCTTCACTTGCTTGTTTCCGGTGGCCACAGTCCTGCGCGCACGCTTTGACGTTCTTCTCTCGGCGTCCTGGTTAGCCGCCGCAAAGACAAGAGAAGGAGGTGGCTCTTTCCCTTGGACAAGATCCACGGTGATAGTTGCATTGGTATAGTTAAGCTTGTGCACGAGTTCAGTAGTCTCCCGGTCGTCTATACACTCCCTGCAAACCTGTAATATAAAGCATTAGTAACGACAGCAAAATACTGGAACGGGTTACCTCAGGTTCTGTTCTAAGAACAGGCAGTTTGAGTTCACTTAATTCTTTTTCTGGACGATCAGGCATTTCTGCTTCCTCAACGTACGCTCGAATGCCCTTGCCAGCATTTGCATCCCACTGCTGACAAAAATAGACCCAATCATCTCGAGAGACCACAACTTGAACGTCATCCTTTACCAGATAACAGAAAGTCAGAGCTCAAAGTTCCCCAATAAAAAACGGAAAACTCACAGAAGATGCTTTTTGTACGAGTTCTCCCCGCCTGGTCCTTGTTAAGGCTGGGGGATTATAGAGAAGTCCACCATGCTGACCAAAATCACGTTAAAATTTATGCTGACAATCGAGTCCAATTTTACCTTGCAAAGAAGAGACGAAAGAAACCTTTCGAGTCCCACAGGCTCCTCGATATCTAGCACATTTTTCCCACTGGCTCCGATGTACGCACGCCAGAGAGAAATCCAACTAGAGGGAACGAGGTAATAAACATCTCCGGGATTAAGTACGGGATTCCGTCCAGAAAATATTGCCTCCTGTTTCTGACGTTGTTCCATCTTTGTAGCTCTGAAAGATAGCATTAAGCATTTCGTTCTGATTCTGGCGAGGAAGCTACCTTAAGTCGTTCTGCCTGGACAGAGTGTGTGAGTGCTCGGCTTCGCAAATCTTGCAATTCTCCGTGTTTACAGGAAACGGCTTGTGTCCACGTTGTTCTTCTCCACCAACAAGAACAGCATTTTGGTAAAAGTAGGACCATAAAACCTCAGGCACGACTTGCCGTTTTGCACCGGCAGCGTCGTCAGGAAGCAATGCATTGTGACGACAGGTTATGGCACTTGTTGGATTTAAATCACCATCTCCTAGTGTGTCCAGGGCAGCCTTCTTGCGCATCCATTGCACGAGCCTTAATAACAGAACAAGTCAGCTATGAAATAATGAAAAGGAAAGTTACCAGGATTTGGACACGTAAAACAAGTGACCTTCAAGGCCCTTCCCAGCCATAACGTTTTCAGCCATTAATTTCATTGCCGCTCTTCCGCTTCGAAAGCTTTCTGCCGTAGCAGCAGCACCAGCATCGGCATAAATACATTCGAAACAACAGCTTTCCATGGTTAGAACTGGCTCGCCTCCATACTGCAACTCAAAATAAAAGTTCTTGTCAGAAATTCAAATAGGAAAAAGAAACCGCACCTTTGAATGCAAGCTCTGCCAAGCAGCATCGGATATGCATTTCATCAGTTGAATACTCTTGGGAGAAACACGTTCGTGTTCACACAATAAGATGCTATTATCAATGGCCGATCTGCAACACCCGCAGAAAAAACGTTTAAGATAAAACCATCAGGACAGAAAGGCTTACGGTGGTTTTAAGCTGTCAGTCCAATTGCGGAGCCACTCTGCGGAAATCCAGAAGCCTTTTGGAGCTGTCGGTCGTGCATTAGCCAGAACCTCTCGAACTTCTGCCCTTCTTTCGACAATTCTCTGTTCCTCCTCATCCTTCATGAGATTGTAAACCTCGCAGCTACTCATAAGACTGTAATTCTGCTCATCGACTTCTGCCTTCAAGAACTCGGGTATACTCCTGACTGGTTCTTCGGCAACTCTCGGCGTGCTCGTTCGACGGGAAAACATTAGCATGTAAGCATCCGGAGACATCAGTAAATTGTCGTCCCTATCAGGAGATACCTTATCAAGTTTAGATGTTGGCTCTCCCAGAGGATTGGAGCCAAGCATCGTTACCTCCTCGTCGTCGAACTGCCACCACTGCCCCGTTCTCTCGTCCCTGATATGAACTACGTAGTGTCCACTGCTGGCCATGTTGCCCTTGTGCATTAAAATCGCAAAAAGATCGTAGTGCGCTGGCTCGCCGGGAGAGCCATCGGATGTCACAGGCGATACTCGTCGTTCCATGTCCAGGACCTTTGGAAACATAAATTTTGACGTGACTTTCTTCTTCGTCGAAGTCTGTAAAGAAGAACAATAAGTCACTGAACATAAAACCAAAGGAGAACGACATACCTTGAGATTGAACACAAATCTTTTGAGCTGAAAATTCAAGACAGGAGGTAGTAATCTGAGCTTTGTGCTGTGCGTGGCATCCACTCTAGCTTTGCAATACTCGCAAAAGTACTGATTCTCTCCCGAAAGCTTCTCCTCGTTGAGATAATCATCCAGCGACTCTTCCAGACTCGAGAAGCCTTTTACGTTCACTTCTAACTCGTAGAAATCAACAAACTGATCCGAAGCGCCGGACTCCTTACCGCAGCTCGAGCACCTGCAAAACATGAAAGATACGAACGTAAGTCTTCATAGCACGAAACACTAAGTGATAAAACCGTCCTACAGCACTACACTAAACAAAGAAATAAACCTGGATATGAAACAATGCGCACTTCGTAACGTATGAAAACGTCCCGCGGAAGAGGTTTTGCACCACGTCTCGCGCCTCCGGAACTCTCGACTGCGCAAGAACTCGCTCCAGTAGCGTGAGGAGAAGCTTCAGAAACTCCTGCCCGTCCTGCTGGACGGCGTTGTCCAGCTCCAGCGTGGTCGCAAACGCAGCCGAGTCCACCGAGCTCTTGGTTCCCGAATGGAGCTGCGCAAAGAGCCGAGCGAGCTGGTGAAGCACCGGATCGTTTCTCACCAGCTCCATCTCCGCGGAGAAGACCCCATTCCGGAAGGTGGTGTTCATGAAGAGACACTGGAGCACGCTGTTGACGTAGCAAGTGGCTCCAAGATTGGTCAACCCCGCTGGAATGTCCATCACCCTCAGCTCCCTCGATGGATCCGGACCCAGCTCGTCGATGATGTCCGATAGCTTCTGCCAGAGCCCATGCTTTCTCGTACCGTTTGCCGGGGGAACTAGGCCACAGAGGCACAGCGGATTATCCTTGGTATTGCCGCGGCATCCCTGGCAGGCTGGCCGATCGAGATGAAAGAACCACCGGAGATCTTCCTCGGTCACAATCTTCGTGAGGTGGATTCTCCTGGGAAGAAAGAATTCGTGAGCAACAAGAGCAGCACAAGAAAGCAATGGCGCACCTGAGAATTTCGGCGCCGCGATCGCCCTTCGGCACCTTGGAATTCTTGTTGCGAGTGCGCCCGCTCATGGCCGGCGCCTAGAAACCCTAGCTGCAAGCTCCTGGAATCCAAGAAAAAGGCCAGCAGCTCAAGAGACGCCCCTACGTGCCGGCATCCAATGCCGCCGCCCGCCACAGCTAGACCGGAGAGAAACGCAGCGCCGTTACCATAGCCAGCGCCATCGCCATGAAAACCCTAGGAACAGCCACGGATAGGCAATGCCCTCACAGGGTATTTGTATGCTACGGTTCGTGCCCAGTAAGCCGCCGCCATGTGTCCTCCAGGCATTTGGGCGGGAATCGAACCCAGCGGCAATCGTCCCGGGCGAACTCTCCCTCGCGCGCGAACGAAAGAGGCGATTAGAAGCCTCGACGATTGTGTGAGGCTCGCGAATTCGTGCCAGAGCTTGGTACAAGCCATAGAGATCCACTCGGCGATGGCGTCGCTGGCGTCTAGCCCCAGCTCCTCCTCGCATTGCCCGATCTTTCTCGCCAACACCATCGTCCGGATGTACGGCGCGTGTGGCGCCGTGGATCACGCGCGGCGGGCGTTCGATTCCACCGCGCTCCGGAACTATCTCTCCTGGGCGATGATGCTCGCGGCATATGCCCGCAACGGGCATCTCTCCCACGCTGTTGCGCTGTTCGATTCCATGCCCCAACAGCCCGACCTCGTCTCGTGGACCGTACTCCTCCAGGCCCAAATCGAGTACGGCAGCCTGGCCGCCGCGGCCGCGCTCATGGGCCGCATGCCCGGCTGGGACATCGTGACGTGGAATGCGATGCTCACGGCGCTCTGCCGGGAAGGAAATCTTAAAGATGCCAGAGAATTGTTTCACGCCATGCCTGAGTGGAATGTGATCTCGTGGACCGCACTCCAGTCGGGATATTCCCAGAACGGGTATCTGGAGGAATCTAGGCGCTTGTTTGACGAGATGCCACAGAGGAACATGGTATCTTGGAATGTGCTACTGTCGGCCTACTCCCAGGCCGGGAATCTAGAGCGCTGCAAGAGTGTCTTTGAGAATATCCCAGAGCTGTGCGTGGTCTCATGGAATGCGATGCTCGCGGCATATACCCATGCTGGGCATTTGGAAGAAGCGAGATCCGTGTTTGATTCCATGCCCGAGAGGGACATAGTGACGTGGACGACGCTGCTTTTTGCGTATGCCCTGGGCGGTCATGCCAGCGAGGCAAGGAGCATCTTTGCCAAGATGCCCCAGCAGGATCTAATTTCTCGAAACACAATGCTCTTCGCATATTCCCAGGACGGGGACTTCCTCGCCGTGAAAGAGTTAGTGGAGGCAATGCCTGAGTGGAATCTTTTCTCGTGGAACACGATCCTCATGGCATATGCCCAAGACGGGCATATCCAGGAGCTCCAGAAATTCCTCTTCTTCCTCCCGGAGAAAAACTCCGTGTCTTGGACAATGGCGCTGGAAGCCCTCGTGCAATCCCGGCGCCTGGATCGCGCGAAATCCCTCTTGCTCAGCGCCCCAGATCTCGACATCGCGGCCTGGAATGCCGTCCTCTTGGCGCTCGCCCAGTCGGGAAGATCATCCAGTGTCGAGGATCTCTTGCGGGCGATGGAGCTCCAAGGAGAAATCTGGCCCAATGAGAGCACCTGCATTGCCAATCTCCTCGCCTGTGGCCACTCCGGGAACCTGGAATCGGCGTGGCGATCATTCCGCGCTATGGCCGCGGATTGGGGATTGGAGCCAACGCACCGCCGCTACTGCTGCGTGGTCGATCTTCTCGGCCGCGCAGGGCGCCTAGCGGATGCCGAGGATCTGATAGCAAGCATGCCATTCGTGCCAGACGCGATCGATTGGAAATCTCTAGCATGCCGAGGGCGCGAAGCAAGAACCCTAGATTCCGCGCGTCGGGCAATCGAGCTAGATCCCCAAAATGCGGCCACGTACCTTTTGAGGATATAGATCTCAGCCGTCCAGCTAGCAAAATGCGGCCACGTACCTTTTTTAGGATATAAGATCTCAGCCATCCACGGCCACGTACCTTTTGGATCATGAGATCTCAGCCGTCCGTTGGCTCGAAAAAGATAATTTTAGACCCCACTAAAAGGTTATAAAGAGTGGAGAGATTCTAGGGTTCTTGGAGAGATTGATCCTGACGCTTCGAATCGATGCTTCCACTGCCACAACCGGTGGTGAGAGAGCATCCGCCATGGCTGGACGTGTTCTTGGCGCTCGATTTCCTAGCGCCGTGCCTGCGGCCGCGGCGAAATCACCACCACGGCAAGGGCTTCAAGCGGGTCCAATCGGCGATGTGCCTGGGCTGCAAATCCCAGCTTTGCAATGTCGAGGATGATCGCCGGCGGCACGCTCCTCACGGCGTTGGAATCCTCGCAATGATCAAGAAGAACAAGCAAATGGTGGTGCCGCGGGAGGAAATCCAGCGCTTCTACAACGTCGCGCTAGTGGATAGCTGCCGCGGGATCGGTGAGAATTTGCTGCTGCTCCATCCCGATCCCTCGGCTAAGGACAGGTATCCGGCGTGCTACCTCTGCGGCCGGGGGATTTGGGAGAGATCCGCGAGCTACTGCTCCATCGAGTGCCAGGCCAAGCACTGGGCCGAGCACGACCGCGCCGATGCTGTTCTTCGCAGTCGCCAGTCCGCGATCAAGCTGTTTGGTGTCTCCATCACGCCCGGGGTGCCTCCTACCAATCCAGCCGCGGATCCGCCGCTCCTCCAGCTCCTTCCGGGAGGACCACCGATCATCTACAGGAAAGCCGGGAAGCCACCCAGGCCGAGGAAGAAAGTTCGCTTCGATCTTTTGGCACTGCCAGTGAAGCAACGTTTGGCTAGTCCGGGAGGTGGGATGAAGCGCTCGGAAATGGAGATGAGAGCTCCCGCCAAGAGAAGATTGGTGCTAGGGGAGTGCTCGAACGCGATGGCTCATACGCCAAGGACGATCGAGGCTCAAGCTCGGCCAGCCGCGAATATCTGTGTGGTGAATCGGACCTTGGTGGATAGAGCTATGAACTTGTTCCCCTCGACCGAAGATAGGGGTGACCACCAAGTTGCCACAGACAAGGAAGACCAGCTTGTTACAAGGAACTTGCTGGCGAGCACTGACCATCAAGAAGAAAGGGTCGAAGCTCTCGGCTTGGAAAAGGTGGCAGACATTGGTGGCTCAAGACATGGTGTCGATCCGGCTCAAGAAGCTCCGGCCGCGGCTCCGAATGCTATCCAAGAAACGGGGACAAGTAAGGTGGTGAACGATTCTCTGGGAAGAATGGAAAGGGCCACTCAAGCTGAAGGACTACAGGAAGCTGGCATGACTGTTGTGGAGAAACGAACTCCAAAAGCAGGCGAAATGCTGGACAATGCAAGCAAGCGTGCTGCTCCAGAGATTCAAGCAGATCCAACAGCCGATCCACCAAGCAATTTCGCGGATGATCCAGGCAAGTCTGCTGCTACTACGGACGAAACGAGCAAGGTGGTGGAGGATGGCACAACCACTGCTAAGAAGAGAAAATATCACAGAGCTTCAGACAAGGATAGCAAGGTGGTGGACGATACAATCCAGCGTGCCGCGAAGAAGAGAAAGGTTCCCTACGCTCCGATGGACGCTCCAAGTGCTGTCGAGAAGGATAAGGCTCCCGACGCTCCGATGGGCGCTCCAATTGCTCCTACGAAGAGAAAAGCTCCTGACGCTGCGATGGACGCTGCTAAGAAGAGAAAAGCTCCCATGGACGCTCCAAGTGCTGCCGAGAAGGATAAAGCTCCCGACGCTCCGATGGATGCTCCTACGATGACTAAAGCTCCTGACGCTGCGATGGACGCTCCAAGTGCTGCTAAAGCTCCCGACGCTGCTCCAAGTAGAAAAGCTCCGACTATCAAGTGTCCTTCTACGTGTTTCAAGGCTCCAGGCAGGGACAGGTCGGGAGACGATTCTGCTACCAAGCGTGCTGCTGTTACGACAGGAAAAGCTCTCGAGGCTCCAGCCAAAGATAGTTCGAGCAAGGCGGTGGACGCGAGAGGAAAATCTCTCAGGATTCCAGGCAAGGAGGTGCACGGTACGACTATCAAGTCCGCTGCTACAAGAGCAATACCTCCCAAGGCTCCAGCTAGCCCGAGTAAGGAGGTGAACGATGCAAGCGCTGCCAAGACTAGAGGAACTAGCGCTTCACACAAGGATACGCCGAGAAAGGAGGTGCAGGATACGACTATCAAGTCCACTGCTGCAAAACCACCCAAGGCTCCAGTGAAAGCTAGCCCGAGCAAGGTGGCAACCGCTGCCAAGACCAGAGGAATAGCTTTCACTAGCGGTCCACACAGGGATACATTGACTAGAGGAAAAGCTCTCACTAGCGCTACGCCGAGCAAGGTGGTGGACGATGCAAGCGCTGCCAAGACTAGAGGAAAAGCTCTCGCTAGCAGTCCACACAAGGATACGCCGAGCAAGGTGGTCTCGAAGCTGGATGCTACTCGAGGAAAAGCTCCCGGCAGCGCTCCAGAGAAGGACTCGGTGGAAAGAGAACGGAGAGCTGTGAGGACGAGGAACCCGCCGCTTCGCTATGCAGACGAGAGCCAACAAAGCTACAGTGTGACGAAGCCTCCGACCATTCTCAAAGCTCGCGGAAGCCACAGGACGACGACGCCTTCTAGCCGCGGGAATGGAGGCCAGGGGAGTCACGATGGGATGCAGACCCTGTTCGAAGTTGCGAGAGTGATAGACGAAACGTATCAAAGGTTTGTAATATATCGACTTTGGTTTTACTCTTTGGCTCATGGATGCGTTGCTCACAGGATACAAGCGTCAGAAGGAAAATAGATTGCGTCATAGTGATACAAGATCGTTTTCTATCCTTTTTTTTTTCTTGCGAGATCCACGCCAAAGTTTTGCCGACGCGAAGATGACGATTTTGCTTCGTTCGGCTTTCGCTGTAAGATTTTTATATATATATATTCCTTGACGTCGAAAGCTCGCCATCTCTCCAAAAGCTTTTTCTAACACTTCAACTCTCGATCGAAAGAGATGGATGGATCGAACAAACTTTCACGTCTGGGGGACCCTCTACCACAGATGCTTCGGCCAAACCCGGCCAAACAAACGCTTCACTCGTCTGCGAGAAGAAAACTCCAACAAGAAGAAGCTCCAAGGCCATGAAGCGAGATGGAAAGGAAAAAAAAATCAGTAGTAGTACACAAATACAAACCAACAACACTACAGACGCGGCAGGGGCTGCCTTGTTGTTGGGCGTTCTTCTTCTCGTTGCTAGCAAGCACTCTAGCAAAGATCCACACACAAAGCCCACGCGTAAAAAACCAAACGAGAGAAACCAAAAGCTTACGAAGAGGCTCCGAGCAAAGTCCCGAGATCTTGGTCGGAGCTAGAGGCCGGCCATGCTGCATCTCACAGTGGGGAGCCTTTGCTTGTCCGGGGCGTTGGATTGAGTAGCGCTGGTGACTCCACCGTCCAGGCCACATCCAATCTGGATGTGGAGGGGCCTCTCGATGTGGCTGCCGCTCACTTCCTTCTCCAGCCGGTTGCAGTAGCTCTCGAACACACTGACCGTGACTTGGAGCCGGAAGTTGAGGTGGAAGAGGAACTCGAGCTCCAGCCGGTTCATCTCTTGCGTGTTGACGCCCCCGACTTTGGCGTAGTAGGCGTTGTTGTAGTATCTGCAAACGCAACCATGGTTACAAAGTCACGAAACCAAAAACCTTTCGGACATGGAAAGACCAAGAACAAGCGCTTCCAAGCCATGAAGGAAACAAAAGCAAAACTAAACGAAATGAAAGAAGCGACAAGCTCTTATGACCGAAATCACCACCAAGGAAGAACTTGGATTCCACAAGAGAACTCCACTTCATGAAAGGAAGGCAAATGAAACAGCTTTGGACCAAAACCAAACAAGGCAAAAGAAAAGAGAGAGAGAGTAGAACTTACGCGTCGTCCAGGAACTTTGCCGCTACCATGACGCTAGTGACGAGCAATCGATGGACGTTGAGCGAGGTGATGGGCAAGCTGGGCTTTTGCTGGATGAATCGATCGATGTAAACGTAGGCGACGACGAAGCACGAGGGGCTACAGTTCGCGTACTTGAAAATCCTCTCCAGATACTTGTCAATGCTGATGCTGGGGGCGCGCAAGCCATGGAAGACGGTGAGATTGGAGTGGCCGTTTGCGGTGGCGCTGGCGGCGTACCTCTCGTTCTTCACCACCACTCGATCCAGCAGCGAGGACAGCACGGCTAAGATCCGGGGCCTCTCGCAGCTCCGGGAATCGACGTGATTTAGCTCGAGGCGCCTGTAGAGATCGGAGCCATGGTTTCCCCCATGCAGCAGGCACTCCCTCGCCATAGACAAAGAACCCCCGCCGCGCCGCGAGCAATGCAGGTCCTCTCAGCCTACAATCGAGCCGCCATAGCCCGCCGCTCGCCGCCCTATGCCGCAATCCCGGCGCTGGAGAGGCCCTTCCATCCCAGATCCGCCAGAATTCGAGCCTAAAGCGAAGTAATCGCGGCTGGCGATCGCAATGCAGGCCCTGGAGCTCCGATCGCTGCCGGAGCTGGAAATCGCCTCGAATTCCCTGTGATACGCTCCAGCGAGGCCGCGCTTCCCTGTACTAAGCGTGAACTGAGCCCTAAGATATAATTTTTTTTTTACCCGAAAGGAGCCCTAAGATGATTTGCGCCGTTATTTACGTGCTACAATTCAAAAGCAACGAGAGTGTGCCACGTGTCAACGTGCCCTAACTCCGTAACGGGCGGGTGGTTTGTTGTACGTTAAACTCAGTAAAAACGAAAGCTCCAGGAAATGTTCAAAGTCGGGGGTGTAGCTCAGATGGTAGAGCGCTCGCTTTGCATGCGAGAGGTACCGGGATCGATACCCGGCGTCTCCATACGAACCATGATTTTGATTTTCTTCATTTAATAAGGTGTTTTTTTTTTCTTGTCCAAAAAAGAGTGCTTGTCATTCTTGTCAGCTGTCCAATTTTCCATGGACGTCGTTGGGTCGAACAAGCCATCGCATAAGATTCCATAGTTTTTTCTATGGAAAATATTTCTTGTCTAAAGTATAGGTGTTTTTTTCAACTCCCAGGAACAGTGCGGATGTTCGTGGCTACTAGGCGTGGTCTTTGCTAGTCAATTGGGAGTTGAATAACGCATATAGCCAAAGATTTGGTCTCTATTACATGGATCACACATCCTTGAAAACATTCAGCGCTTTGGTTGAAGCACTTTCTCTCTAGCACAAAATGTAGTGGTCCATCACTTTCCACGGTGATAATCGAAGGATTAGTTCTGCTTGACATGGTTGATATTCTAAAACAAAACATAAAGATCAGGATATGAAATTGAGACGAATCAATAGAATTATTACCGTGCCTCCAATAGAAAGCGTTTCTAGGCAGTGATTGAGGCCAACAATGTCCACGGAGTTTCGAAGATCTCGACTCCTTGACAGTGGAAGCCGGCAAGCGATCCCCGGCGTAAAGACGCATCGATTGTGATAGTCTCTAAACGTAATTGAATGCAAGAACCTGTAACGAGCTATAAGTAAAGGAGGAAGCTCAAAGTCGAGAGCTCTACGAGCGGCTGCAATATCTTTCGGAAGATTTGAGTATGCTTCATACCAAACCGAGTCTAGCGTCATTCCAATGACACCACGCTAGTTGGCCTGCTTTGTCAATCAGTCAAATCAGATAAGGACTGAAGAAAAAAGTTGATGGAAGAACAAAAAAAAAACCAATAGTGGGGTGCTTGCCGTAGAATGGAAACCAATGGAGCGGAGCCTTAATTTCTTCTCAATGCCATCCTGAAAACAAAGAAACAAAGATTTGAGACTAAACTCTTTGATGCTTGCGGACACACAGGATTGAACGACGAGACAATGTATTGCGCTGATAGAAAATTTTGGTTTCCCTTCCTCGTATTAGGCCGCGGCTCCATAATTCCCTAGTCCAGAGCCTTGGTTTGGACCATCTCTAGCCCAGTGACCCCTTGACACTTGAAACAGCCACGGCCTCCGAATGATCCTGTATTGCCAAGACCGCCGCTGCCATATCACCACCGCCACCACCACCTGTTCACCCTGTAGCCACTCCATTTTCATTGCAACAATCATTGATCCTTGAAAATGGTGCGGACATTTTTTATTTCTGTTTTAAATTTATTTATTTATTGTTTTAACTGAGAATATTTTTTGTTATTGTTTACAAGGTTACAATGATACTTTACAAGGTCTCCATTTCAAGATCATGATCAATTCATCCCTCCAGAGACATAAAAAATAAAGAATGATTTTGGCTTTACATAGTCTCGAGTACTGTAGGAAACCAGCTTAAGTCAGTTGCAAAAACACAGAGATAAACTTACCGCTACATTTTGTGTTAGAGAGGAACTGCTTAAACCAAAGCGCTGAATGTTTCGGGTATCGTTTCAAAGTTGTGTAATCCACGTAATAGAGACCAAATCTCTGGCTAAATCCGCTATCCCACTCCCAATTGTCTAGCAAAGACCACGCATAGTAGCCACGAACATCCACACCGTTCCTGAGAGTTAAAAAAACTACAGTTTAGACGAGAAATAGTTTTCCTCGAAAGAACTAGGCCTATGGAAGCTTACGCGATGGCTTGCTGCAAGCTCGTGAGATACGACTCATAGAACTGAACCCTTGCATCATCCTTTATGAACCTGTCGCTAAAAGTGTTCGAATCGGCAACGTCCACCAATCCTGGAAAATTGGACCTGAGAAAACCAGTGACAAGAATGACAAGCCCACCATTTTCCGTGATGATAATCGGAGGATTGTTGTAGTTCTCCTTGACGTGGTTGAGTATATTGTAAAGCCCCCAAGGTACAACATAAAGCCAGGTCCCAGTCTATAAATCAAACAGACCCAAGATGAGGATCAAGAAATTAAAAGAAGAAACAAGTGTTTTAGAGAATTGTTTACCGTGCCTCCGATAGAAATCCCGTTTCTTTCAGCTGCAAAATTGAGCTCGTGAGGTAAATTCACAAGGAAACCATCAATCTATTGCTTACTTAGAAAGTGTGTATGGGAGTCACTCTCGTAGCCGGGACGAACGTTGCTAGGCCATGGATTGTCTTGAGTGTATCGAGAAGTGTAGTGATTGAGTCCCACAAAGTCCATGGAGTTTCGAAGATCTCTCGACTCTTCGACAGTGAAAGCCGGCAAGCGATCCCCGACGTAGAGACGCATCGACTGTGGATAGTCTCCAAACGTAATTGGATGCAAGAACCTGCCAAGAACTGAGAGTTCACTCGGAGATAAAACGGAGAAGATTTTCTTACCATCCAAGTTCAAAGTCGAGAGCTCTACGAGCAGCTGCGATATCTCTCGGAAGACTTGAGTATGGTTCATACCAAAACGAGTCTAACGTCATTCCAATGACGCCACGCTGGTTGACCTGCTTTGTCAATCAGATAAGGACTGGAGAAAAGAAAAAAAAAACCTTGAGTTTGGAGGAAGCGAACCTTGTATTTACGCCTGTAGAGTTTGACGGCCTTGGCGTGTGCTAGCAGGAGATGATGGCCAACGATGTATGGCTCCGTGCTCGAGTTTCCTTGCGGGCAGCCCGTGCATCGGCCGGGCGCGTAGTATCCTTGGACGTAGCCTCCGTTTACCAGCTGGTGTGGCTCGTTGAAAGTTAGCCAGTTTTTCACGCGGTCGCCGAAGGCCTGGAAGCAAATGTCTGCGAATCGCAAATACTCGTCCCTGCAAAACATCGAGAGAAGTTTTCCATCAAAGAAGAACTTTGCCGAACTCTTTCCGGAACTTACACGATGTCTCGGCTAAGCCATCCTCCAAACTTATCTTGCAAAGTTTGCGGGAGATCCCAGTGATAGATAGTGACAAAAGGCTTGATTCCTGCCCAAAAAAGTAAACAGTGCTTTCAATCTTATAAAAACTATCCTCCGCATTGATTGGATCTTACCGTGTTCCAGCAGAGCATCGATCAAGTTGTTGTAGTACGCAACCCCTTCGGGATTCACGCGACCGTCTGCCAAAGGAGACTTTTTTAAGTTTTGCGTTCTTGAGTTCATCCTCCTTACCGTGGAAAACTCGAGTCCAGGAGATTGAGAACCTGTATGAATCCATCCCCAAGTTCTTGAGCAGGAGAACATCATCCTGGAAAGATAAAAGTTCATGGGCTTTTGATTTTAGAAAGCTCTGCTTTGCACAAACCCTGTAGTGATGGTATTGATCATCCGTGATGTTTGGACTACTTCCATCCGCAATGTTTCCTGAATGGCAGAAACACGTGAAATGAGAGCTAGATCTTTGCAAGAGACTAAAGAAACCCACTTGGGTTCGCAGCAAAGATATCCCAGATGCTGGGCTTTCTCCCGCCTTCATCCACAGCGCCTTCATACTAACACAGGAAACGGACGCAAGTTTTAAACAGAGAAATTTGGTCCCGAGATTTGTCTACCTGGAACGCCGATGCTGAGGCGCCGAATATGAAATCTTCCGGAAAGTCGCATCTGCTGAGGCCAGTTTGATCGGCTCTTGCGGAGATCGTGAGCCAAGCTAGAAGAAAGAATGCCGCATTGCAAAGCAAGAGGCCCATTGGGAGCAAGGAGAGATCAAACTCCAGAATCTCCCCAAAAGATTCAATCTCTAGGGGGATCTGACAGGGCTTTAAATATATCTACCCTCGGCAAAATTGATTGGCCAGCTGAAGAACAACGTGTTCTTCCTTTGCCACGAGTAACTCGTGGACGCGTATGAACCATACCTAGATAGATAAAAGGCGTCGTTTGAGCCTGATTTTCAAACAGCTTTACCTCAACTACCACTTGATTTGCTTAACGAAAGCGTCTCGTGTTTTGGCTCTCGAGTAAGCATTTTAGGAAGTCTCTTTGAAGTTTCTTGCAAACATTTTTATTTAATTATTTTTCTTCTTTTCGCTTTACAGAAACGGTCTAAAGTTAAATATTCTCAAGAACCTAAAGAGGTGGAGTGCCAATAGTTTTGAACATTTTCTTGTGCTGATTGAGTGTTTCACAAAACGTGCCTGAAATGTGGCCAGAGCTGGTCTTGGAGTGACCACAATCTCTTCCAGAAAGGATCTCATCGTGACAGGGATTTATCTGTCGACCACAACCATTGACAATCTCGACCAAGTCTTGGGGACCAAATCGCGACACGTTTTAATTCACTTGTGGACGATAAAATATGTTTTCTTAACTACTAGTGAAGTTGAGCGCAGCGTAAGCATTCAAGGAGCTCGTTAGTTTCTTCTATTTTCTCTCCCCAAAGTTCTTGTTGTTTTCTTTTGTCCTTATTTTTCTAGGTAGTGAAATGACTATTATCTTTACAAACGAATGACTCGTATAAAACTATGGAGAGACTCCAGATGTGAAACTAGAGTGCGCTGCTGAAACCAGTTAAAATCGCTTCGTGGTGCCGATTGCTGTTCTTCGTCAGAACGCTGATTGAAAACATCAGGGCCCCAAATCGGTTTGCATGTCAAAGCAGCAAGAAGGCTTTGATGTTGCAGGAAAACAGGTAGTATTCAGAAATCTCAACTTCTTGCTTTGAAGTAGTTCTTGTTGAAGCACGAACTGCAAGTTTAATGTGACCCTTTTCATATATGTTTTTATTAAAGAAAGTGTTTTATGATTAATGTGTTATAACGTTATAAATGAAATAAATAAATAAATAAAGTATTCAAAGTTCCACTTTAATGAGAGAATCCCATTTTATGGATATTTAACTTGACCTGAAAATAAATATATTAATTGGGGTTTAGAACTAATCTCGTCACTTTCGTCACATTAGCCAGCGCCACGCACCACACCGAGAGATGAACCAGTCGCCCGCTCAGACAGGTATGGTCACCACCGCAGCCAAAATGGGGCACTACCTATCGCGACCCAAGCCGCTCTGTGACGAGGGACCAACACTTGCTCTTGCCATTCGGAAATCTGGAAGAGAAGGATGATGTGGAGTATTTCAGCTTGATTCTCAAGATTGACGATCCAAGTTTCAAACGCCAGGATTAGGATGGTTTGGGCAGCACATTTGGGACCACCACCAAGCAGCAGACTTCAAAACCCACCCGACCCCTCTCAACTCAGAGTTCATTGTCACCTTCCGGCACCACGACCAAATGAAGCATGTGTGGGTGGAGGGTACGTTCAAGAGGGACGGGAAGCTGGCTTATGTTCAAGCCTACGGAGCAGAACCACCACCACATTTCCCGGTACGGATTTTGATGCTGGAGTTGGACGGGACTTGAGGCTGCCATCTCACATTAAGTACGGACGTATTACTACAAGCTAAAGTTCAAGAATGTCCCAAACAAAGTAGATGTGTTTCGTGACTTCTCAAAGGGATGGCGATTCTGGGACATCCTAGACGTAACGACGGCCGAAGAGGAGAAGCGGCCCCCATCTGCGTCTGCTTCGAATCCAAAGACAACCGTACCAGAAGAACCGGATCCCACTTTCATGACACCAGTGGCAACTACACCACCCAACATAGGCCTTGACAAGGGAGGAGGTTCCTAATAAAACAGCCGTCATGCAACTGATGATGTCCATATTCCAGGACGTTCTGGAAGGGAAATGGGAGGACAAGCCCCCATCCAAGGATACCCAAGGAGCCAATCTGGTGTCCTTCCCTGAGGCAAGTAACGCATCATCTCCACCAGCCAAGCCGAGGAAGAAGCCAAGGCAACCTAGGATCGCGATGGGAGTTTTCCCAGACAAAAAGTCCAAGGAGATATACCTCGGGCTCCAGGCCAAGGTGCCTCAGAACCACAACCGCCACTGGGCTCGGCCCCTAAGCGAAAGGCACCAGCAGGCAGAGCTTTGGCCCAAGCAAAAGCGAAAGGCTCTAGAACTGGGACGGGAAAAGTAGCAGAGGCAACATTGCTACCATCACAACCGACAGCCACTGATCAGGTGATTCTCATCTCGCCTCCATTTGGGCCAGCCGGCAACTCAAGAGGAAGAGGAGGAAGAACCCGTACAGACCACGCAACGTCCAAGCTTCTACGACAACCATGACCAAAAAATGGCAGCACTGTTGGGGAAAACTGCAGCAACAAAACTCCAAGGTGCCATCCAGAAGAAGTTGATGAATAGGAGGGCCTTCACACAGCCGTGACGGCACCAAGATCAGCTTCAGCAAACTTAGTAACACCTCCACATTTTTTAAAAAGTGGATAGAAGAATCGGTTTTTATTTTCACGAACTCTCTTTTGTAGCAATTTGGCCATCCAATGTAAGTTCAACACATATTTCTTCAAAAAAAGCCAAGCCTAGAGGGATGCGTCGACCAAAGGACAATACCATTTGACTCCAAGCTTGAGATCCTCATCTGGCACTGCCATGGCTTGCCCCACAACTCTGGCTTAGGCTTCCTTTGCTTAGTTGAAACTGTAGATGTGTGATTTTGTATATGCGGAATGCTCTATTGACTTCATTGTTTTGGTATGGTTATGTACATAACAGTATGAGTGTGACGCTTGGCAGTTGGTGTCTTGGATGAATGACTTGTCTTCTTTGCTGATGTGGAGGCTTGTCATCACTTGTCTCCACACTCCTCCTCAAGGCTCACACTGTCAATCAAATGGAGTGATTTGAGGAAGAGTTCATGCTTCACTCGAGGCAAGGACTTCGTCAGGATATTAGCGACCATTGAGCTAGTTGGATGGAATTCCGGGTTGATTGTTCCATTGTTGACTTGATCCTGGATGAAATGGAACCTCAACTCAATGTGCTTGGTGCGTGAGTGAAATCTCGCATCCCGAGTCAATGCTACTACCAACATATTGTTGCAGTAGAGTTTGACTGCTAGAATTTGAATCTTGAGGTCCTGCAGCAATGTCTTAAGCCAGATGGCCTCTTTTGCTGCTGCTGCAGCTGTGATGTATTCAGATTCACATGATGACATCGCAGTGATCTGCTGCCTCCTGGAACACCAACTAACCACGTTATGGTTATACATGAAGACATACTATAGCGCATGTGATCATGGGATGAGATTTAGATATACTATCACCGTGGATCCTTGGAACCTTGGGAGATAAATGGGGATAAAATAGCCACTAAGGGCTCTCTCATCAAGCAATTGCCCCTTTTCCAGTTGGCTTAAGGGGAGAGAGATAAGGTGCATTACATATACCCTGAGGTGGATTTTCTGTCATCTGGATCTCCTGCCCAACCTATGTCTGTGAATCCCACTAGGCCGTTGTCTCCATCTCCTCTTGCATATTTCAATGTGAATTTCCTTGTGCCACTCACATACCTCATGATCCGCTTCACAGCGGCCCAATGTGAGGGTGATGGATTGTCCAAGAACTTTGAGACTGCTCCCACTCTGAATGTGAGGTTAGGCCTAGTTGAGAGCATCAAGTAGATGAGGCTCCCGACCACTGAACGGTACAGAGTTGTGGTCTCCTCCTCGGGAGTGTTATCAGAGGTTGATGTCAAACTAAAAGCCTTGGACAACTTTGAGCCTACTTCCATAGGAGTAGCCACCGGATTAGTGTTAAGCATAGAGTACCTCTAGAGAATGTCATGGATGTATTTCTCCTAGGAGAGCTCAAGTACTTATCCTGGTAGACTTGAATTCCTAGACAATAGTGCAAGTTTCCTAGATTGGTCATCTCGAATTTAGCAGCAAGAGAGGCCTTGATGCGGTGGATGAGTCACATCTGGTTGGAGGCTAATATTGTATCATCCACATATAAGGCTAAGAAAAGAAATCCTTGGCCATCTCGATATATGTAGAGATTATTATCAACTGTGCTGTGAGTAAAACCTAACGAGGTCAGAAAGCTGTTAATTTTAGTGTACCATGACCTGGGGCTTTGTTTCAGCCCGTAGAGAGCCTTGTGCAAATGGCAGACAAGATGCTCCTGTCTGGGATGTATAAACCCAAGAGGTTGGGCAGCGTACACCTCCTCCTCAAGATCACCGTTTAGGAAAGCAGTTCTCACATCAAGTTGATGGAGCTCCAGGTCGAGCTCAGCTGCAAGGCTCATCAAAACATGAATTGTTGTTAGCTTTACAATAGGGCTATAAGTTTCAGAGTAGTCAACTCCCTGGATCTGAGAGAAACCACTAGCTACAAAGCGTGCCTTGTAGTGCTCGATGCTGCCATTAGCTCGATATTTCTTCTTGAACAGCCACTTGGCTGTGACTACCTTCCTACTGGGAGGGAGGGGAATTAATGTCTAGCTTCCATTCTTGATCAGTGAGTCATACTCATCCTACATGGCTGCTTGCCACTGTGAGGCATCAGGACTGGAGAGAGCAGCCTGGTAGCCATGAGGTTCAGCAATGGAGCTCATGGCCCAATAGAATCCCTTCTTGCGTGGGGCTTGAGCAAGAGATTCTAGAGCTTTGACTGTTGGCTTGCTCACTCGTCCTGAATGGGTAACAGCTCCAATCTCTTGATGAGGTGGTGTCATAAGAGAATCTGAAGGAGGTGATTGGGAAGATCCTCTAACTGTTTCTTCACCAATGAACAACTCGTCCATTCTACTCACTGGATGAAGTAGTGTTGCTGCTAGTAGCCACCGAAGTGACCAGAGGAACTGGTAGCAGCGGAGTTGCTAGAGAAGGCTCATCACCAAGTGGAGGAGGTATTCTTCCTTTTGGAATGAGCAGCCTCTAGACTGCTGGTGCTAGTGGGTCTTCCAGCACTAGGGTCAAGTCCACCAAGTTAGAACTTG